TCAGTCCTCCCTGCCGCCCGACGGGGGCCGGCCCCTCCTCACAGCGCTTTCACCCGTCGTGCGGCACCGTAACGGGGTTTCCCTTCAAGCGGGTGTTGCGGCTCCGCGGCCGGAGCCGGTGGCTGTCGGTGCAGCGAGGATCGCGGCCGTCGTTGCCCTTCGCAGCGGCAGAGCGAAGCCGCGGCGATGGATGAGGAACCGGAACGGACCAAGCGCTGGGAAGGAGGCTACGAAAGAACATGGTAGGCTCTCCTTTTCCTTCCTCACCTTCTTCTTGGTGAAAGACGAGAAGAACCTCCTTTCCGCGTGGTAACAGTCTGTTTCGCGTAGGGAAATCCTTAAGGAAGATGAATCCGGATCGCTGAAGGCGACCATCGAGAACATACTTTTCAAGGCAAAGAGGAAAAGGTATTATGTGTGTTGCCACGAGCCTGCTAATAATACTGTTTTGGTCGGTTATAAGGACTTAATCGTTCTGAAACTGGGTCCTCTTGGTTGAGTAAAACTATCGGCACGACTCCAATATGTTTTTAAGTACTTACCCCTTCAGAGCTCCAGATATATGCTTCTTTCCTACTAGTTATTAATTGTGCCAGGGGAAAAAAATTATAAAGGCTGAAAGCATATAAGCTAGATACCCCAGGTGAATGCTAGCCAGAGGGATGCGGTCTTGATCCGATGAAACACGGTGCAAAGCACTGCAATTGCGATTAGCACTGTTCAGAGAAAATCCTTCAACATTTTTTTAAATATGCGATTCGTGCTTTGAGCTGGGTTTTGTTATGGTGGCACCAGGTTTGTGTTTCAGATTGTCAGAAAAATTGCTAGGTAAAATCTAGATTTTGTTTTATTTCTGATTATGTAAAATATTCAAAATTTGGATAAAATTCTAAAGTTCCATTAAACCTGGTAGTAAGAAATAGTTTTTGTTTTCTGAGACATAAAATCTGTTATCGAACTGTCTTTTTTTCAGTGTATTTACACTGAAAAGTTCCTGTGCTTTGTTATTGCCTCATACTTACCAGAAGTCTAGTACCAGATTCGTTCGGGACTTTTGTTTTAGGAACTGTTTATTCTTTTGCATCTTACTTAAATCCTCTTGTGTTTTATTAGACTCTGCGAACATCATGGACAAGTTCGGCTTGGAATGGTATGTTAATGTTTTAACCCTTGTCTGTCCTGAGTCCAAAACTACTGTGCCTAAGCTTAAAATACACTTTTGCTGACTTAATGTGCTTGAGACTAAAGCTTGCGTTTTTACACCAAGCTTTTTTTTTTCTAAAACATTCTTTGTTCATAGTCAGTGTGGGATGTGAAGCATGAGTATTCAGAGGTGGAGGTTTGGCATGTTCACTGTATCAGGGTGTGTTCTGCACAGCAGTCAAATCATACACAATTGGCACTGTCAATTTTTCTTCATGTGAAAAATGTGCATAATTCAAATGTAAATAACAATGTTACTTTATACAACACTGAGCTTTTCTGAAGAAGAGGTGAAGGTGTAAACTATGCATATTTTGTAGCTTACCGTGGGAGGAAAAGAACACTGCATTTTTCAATACAGTCTTTTTTTTTTTCATTTTGAAGGAAAAGTGGAAAAAATGTATTACTCTTTCAGTTGCTGTTGGTTATATAGCCCAGTGTACTGAATTTTCCCTGTTAGAGAGAGGAAGTGGTTACTTCTTTAGTAAATGGGATAATAAACAGTTAATTTAAATATGTGTTCTGTGAGTGATTATTACTTCTGGTGAAATTGCAGATGCGTCACCTTTATGTGGTTGTTGATGGATCAAGAACTATGGAGGACCAGGATTTAAAACCAAACAGACTTACCAGCACTTTAAAGGTATTTCTGCACTCAAAAGTTTTCTCTTCTTAATCCACTGATTGTCCATAAACCAGTCTGATTCTGCATTTAAAAGAATGGCAGTCTCTTGTTATTAGAGTACATGCATAGACTCATCTTCTTGTCTCTACTTTTTTCCCTTATTTCTGTTGCTAGTCTGTAGTCTTACTGTTTTTTGAATAGTAGAATCTGTGTGACATGAGTTTGCTTTGGATTAGTACTTCAGTATAGTAAAAGCACTTTGTAAGGATGTGTTATGTAAAGGCACTTAAAGTATGTGGAAATTAAGCTAAGTGTTCACTGTAATAAGGGATGAAAGAAGAACATGCTTTTGTTATGCATCTAGAATATTTTTTTTGTTTACAGTTGTGTTTTGATGAATTCTGGTTTGAATGGATTCTAGGCAGGAGTTGAATTGGATTGCTGCTTCAGGCTGGAGGACTTGAACTGTACATTTTGTTCTATATGGTCTTCTCTAAGCAGAAGCAAAGCATTGAAATCCTGAGTTTTGATGATTTTGTACAGATTACTGTTGGTTCAAATTAAAGTTTAGAATACAACAAGAAACAGTAATCTAAAACTTTAACATATGAAATGAATAAGGGGTGGCTAGTTTCTGAAATTTACATTGAATTGGTAACGGGAGAAAGGAGAAAGAAAGGGAAGTAAGGGATCATTCCCTTTTTTTAAATTATACTGGATGTTTTGCAAGTACCATCTACTTAATGCATGTGGAATAAAACTATTCTGTTTTTAACAGTCTTAACTTTTCTTTGTAGTTATTGGAATATTTTGTTGAAGAATACTTTGACCAAAATCCTATCAGTCAGGTATGTATAACTACACAAGGAACAAGTAATTGTTATTGGAATATTTTGTTGAAGAGTACTTTGACCAAAATCCTATCAGTCAGGTATGTATAACTACACAAGAAACAAGTAATTGATAACTATTTTAACAGTTAGCTTTAACATATCTAGTAAACTGTTTTCAATTGA